CGTTGAGGGGCTCTCCAGAGCTCCCTCTAGTGGAGGCCTTTCTGCCAGCATTAGCGTGAGCAGGAATTTGGAGGGCTGCACCTTAACCTGACACTTTTACCATCGTTAAACAAGCAAACTCTGCATTCGTGTTTTAACAATTATGACTTGTACGTGCCACAACAATAGATACCTCTTATACACTCTCCACTTCCACCGACGTACACTATAACTGAATATGGATTATTTCATCTCCAACCCTCAGTAATTGTTTATGCCTTGCTGCTGCCGTCTGTTAAGTCATCGCTGTTCAGATTTTTTTTTGTCTTTTTGTGTGAAGGGAAATCTTTGATCTTCCGGCAGGCAAACACGTCCCCCGTGTATTTGGTCTCAGCGGTGGTGGAAATTCTGTTTGTTTAAAATTGCAATTTCATGTGGGGCGATTGTCCCAAGTCACAAAGGCTCAACATTCGCCCCTAAAAGCATGACCCGCAAGGACACGCAGACCTGCCAGCTGTGCACACTCAGGGGCACACGGGGGCGAGTCAAAGCAGAGGTGTGAAGAGAGGCCCTTTTTGGAAAACAGGGTTAGTGTTTTATTTATTGCTCATACCTATGCCATCGCGTTGGAGGCAGCAGCCAGAACACTGAACTCATTCTCACCTGGATTTAATCAACTTGGTCTTGTGCGGCTGATAAATAAAACAAGAAGCAGACAACAATTACCTGCAAATTAAATAGATCGCTCTGCGTTGATGAAATGGGAGTCACATATAGACATTATCGTACCCTAATTAATAAACGCAGCCCCAGTAGTTTTCAGAGACAATCATCATGCCTCCCCAAGGACCATCATTCCATGTTTACTACAGTATAAGCATTTGATTAAATAGTGTCCTTGAAACACCGGGATAATTCAGGGGTAGGGTCACACGAACGGCAGAAGGGCCTCCAATACACGGAGCTCTGGAGAGCCCCTCCCGAGTGTATTTGTCCTTCCTTACCACGCTGAAAAGACGTATTTCAAGAGATGGCAGTAACCACACGCGACCTGCTTACTGCGGTGAACCCGTATACCGTGTACTGTGCTGCTGCTGCTGCTGCTGCTGCTGCTGCTGCTGCTGCTGCTGCTGCTGCTGCTGCTGCTGCTGCTGCTGCTGCTGCTGCTGCTGCTGCTGCTGCTGCTGCTGCTGCTGCTGCTGCTGCTGCTGCTGCTGCTGCTGCTGCTGCTGCTGCTGCTGCTGCTGCTGCTGCTGCTGCTGCTGCTGCTGCTGCTGCTGCTGCTGCTGCTGCGTGCACTCTCCCGTTCAGTTATCACACGCCACCGATGCTCGTCATGGCCGGGAATCAAACTCAGGTTGCCGGGTTCATAGTACAGAACGCTAAAGGCACTGCTGCACCCCACAGAAAGGCATCTGTTAATATATCAGTTTACTCTTGTAATTTATATGCAAAACACACGATAGTGTCCAGAATGCAAACATTCGAGATAACACTTTAACAAAACAATTATTTTCCAAGGAAATACCACATGTGACTAAAACTTTTTATTTATGAAAATGATACTCAGCATTGATCAATCAGCCAACAAACACTCTCGGGGAGGAACGTTTGCCAGCAGTGGTGTGAACAAATAACTTTCGGGCTGCATCTTTAGCTTTTAAGTTAAACACTTCCAAAATGTGGTTTTGGCTCAATCTATCGTTCACCCTTACGCGTCCTATACAGTGCCTGGATTCTTAAATCAAAGCTACAATATATACCGTTAAGAATCCTAATACCAGTACTTTTTTCTACAGGTATGTTTGTCATGTAGCTCACTGTGCAAGTACATATTGGCGGCCACACAAGAGTCAGCACAGGTCGTTCAAGAGGCCAGCTCTGTGCGAGTTTATGAAAAAGAGCTCGATAGCGCATCGAATTCCTTCAGGACAAATAATTATTCTGATTTTGAATAAAACACAAGAATACACGAATGAAATGCATCTGATTATACTTATTACACAATTTTCTTGAATTGCCAATTTTATAAATTGTATTACTTGACTATTGAGATGGAATTAATCTGTTTCTTTGGTAAATTAATTAAAACCAGCAGGCGATATGAAACGCAATTTTATGAATGCACGTTTAGGACTACTGTACAGTACAAACAAAAGAGTGACGCACAAAATTGACTAGTCTGTCAAACTGATATTGCGTAAAATATAAACTATACACATCTGTCACTAACATTGGCTACAAAGTAAAAGTAATCAGCGACGTTTTAGGCAATGGCCCTTCTTTATAGCACAATTTATGCACCACTCCTAATGCAGCAGCTTCACCAATTACTGTCAAAGCATATATCTGTACTGTCGTCATAAAGTATAGCGACGTATAAGGTAATTATCCTCGTTTAAAATAAACTATTGACCTATTTATAGATTACACAGTACAGTACACAGTAGCAGTTTATATAGAATGTATTTGTGTAAAAGGTCAAAGTGTTACTCTGCTCAAAGTGGAAATGCCTATCCATGAGCCAGGAAGGGAAATTCCTTATTCATATGGTGGGAGCCAGTCCCTCCATAGAATGCAGTTCATGAAAGATTATTAATATTGAGAATGGTAACATTAAGATCAAAATGCTGTTCGGTAGTCAAACATACATTAATTAAAACTACCGAACGTATGGGTTTGGCCGGGACAAGTGCTTTCAGAATAGCTGCTCCAGATGTCCCAATGCTTTTGTGAAATATTGTGATTTTTAGCCGCATCCTTGACTTATGGTTGGCAGTGGAGAAGCCATTGGCCGATGACTGATGGGTGTGGTCAGCATCACCATGAGCCAAGCCACTCGCTGCGAGCGGCTTGGCTAGTGGCTGAGTGGACGTGGTGATTGAAAAGTGGGAAGAACTGACAGGAGAGGGGCTGCCAGCTGAACAGGTGCCCTGGTTGAGCCTTCAATACATTTGGTAGCTTTAATGGTTATTTATTTTCAAATGGCTCCATTTTGTATGCTTAATTCTTGCCCACAATATATATGAATGCACTTTGGCGATTGTTTAACCAGCTATGAGTAATAAGAGTATGAATCTTGCTCAAATCTGCCATCCAGGGTTTTTTGCAGTTATTCGTGCAAATCACCAATCTTAAAAACCGGTTGACCCAAAAAAGAATTCTAGAACTGTATTCTTTTGAAAAACAAACGTGTGTAAATCACGTACCACTCCAGTACAGTATTATCAATAATTGTTCGTGTATTAGTTGAGCATTAAAATGCGTTTGGACATACAATTCACCATAATATAAAACTTATGGCGGGACCCCGGGGTCCCATAAGCCCCCGGCTCTCGCATAAACTGCGTTGCGACGTAATTTTATGTCTGTTGAAGGCGAACGATACGGGATTTTATTCTTCTCGACGAGCTCTACACGATGCGCTCATCAAAGTTTTGTATATTCTGCGCATTCGTCCTCGCTGTGCTTGTACATGACATGACAACAGAATGATCCGCGCCAGGTGGGTCACGGCGTTGATGTGCGCGGTGGGACGGAGTCGTCAAAATAAATACATTCATTACGATTTTGACTCCCGTTTATTTCGGGACCCCGGAGTCTCGCCATAAGGTTCATATGCCCGACATTTGCTTAAGCGACTGCATAACCATAACCTTCAAGTCCATGTGACATCCCAAACAATAACACAATTTAGCCTCTTAGTTTATTGGCCTTCCAAACACATGTGCTCACCAGCAGAATTTGTTTAAACACAGACCCTGGACTAGTTTAATTTCACAGGGTCTCATCAACAGTCAGGCATGCAAAGCAAACACTGCTGATGTACCAGATGTCATTGGTCAATGCCCTGCCATGGGCCGTCGGCGCGAACAAACCCAATACAGAATAAAATATTAATGTATCACAGAGCGCTGTTGATGATCACCAGAAGAGAGAACCCGTCCGAGGGTTTGTGTGCTTAAAGAAATGCTGCTGCTTAACTTTGCTATGTTAGTCAATAAAGCCGAGAGAATTAAACAAACCGGTATTTCCGTACGAGTGCAGCGGTGGTGCTGGCCGTGGTGCTAACACTGCGCTATGAACCCGGCAACCCAGGTTCGATTCTCGGGCAACGGCAAACATCAGTGGCGAGTGACATCAGAGTCGGTGCTGAAGTCCCCTTGACCGGCGTGGTCAGGGCGTGGTCACAGCGTGGTCACGGCGTGGTCACAGCGCCTGCTGCCGTGTCGGCAGAGTGCGCTCGCCACTGCGCCACCGCTCCTCCCATTGACGGGTGGCGGTGTTGTCATCCGCGCATCGCCTCCTCCGCCGTGGTGTGTGGCTGTAGCGATGTGCATGGAACTGCGTGCATCGTCTCACGGTGTCACGACGCATCGTAGTGGGGGCCGTGGTGGAGCGCATCGCGCGCTGCGCTGCACTCCGAACCCTGCGATCCGAGTTCCATTCCAGCTCACGGCCACCTACACGTGACCATTATCTGAACCGTTCTGGGCCTCTCCAAGGTCGACTCAGCCTCAAATGGGCACCTGGTGAGGGGTGTAAACATCGCCATTGGGCAAAGGCAGCCGGGCGTGGGCCGTACCGGCCTTCACAGGTGCACGCAAACAGCACTTGCCCCAAGTCCATTACGGCTGTACTGGGGGACCTTTGTATGTGCGTGTGTCAGTGTGTGCATCCATGCACACGCGTGTAAGCTATTGCAGTGTGTGTGTCAGTGCGAGTGTGTATAAGTGCATGCACGTGTACGTATGTACACTGTACATGTTAAATAAATAATAAACGATGTGTTCCGCATGTCAATGTCATCAGCAGCAGCACACGCACAATAGGCGACGGGTGTCACGTGTTCACGTTTTTCGTGGCGTTCACTCTCGACTTGAGACGCGCGCATCACCACCACGACTGCGCTATCATATATCGCGAGCGACGTAGCCGCCGCTATATTATAAGCAGCACAACAACAACAACAACACCGAGCCTTGTTCTGTGTAAATGCAATGCGGGGGCACGTATCTCACCTTGCGGTAAACGATCATGTTCGGGGGGTCGTCAATCGCAGCAGCAGCGACAGCGGCTTCTGTGCTTGAGTTGTTGTATCCCGCAGCAGCTGCTGCTGCTGCTGCTCCTCCTCCACTGCTCCCTTCTGCCATAGCTCCACCTCTGTGTCTGTGTCTAGAGCTGCTGCTGCTGCTGCCACCACTCCGCTACGCACACTGCTGTGCACCCACCGTGTGTATGCCGGCGACTGGGTTTCGAACGGGGGTGTTGGCACAAGATGTACAAATATATGGCAATCGCGAACGCAATGCCAAGGTAACAACAACGACGACGACGTTGAGATAACAACAACAACGTTGATACCTAGCCACTGGGGGGGCCATAGACCCGGACTAGGCTGAGAGGTAAGGCGTTAATAAGGAACATTCACAGTGACCGCTTGACCAATTGGTTGAATCGTACAACGCAAAAGTAGTATAAATAGTAGGGTACGATACTGCGTTTATGTGAATGTTTTGTGATGCATATGGCACATGCAGAGTCAAGTGCTATGCAGTGTAAGTGTATGGATAGTGGCACACACACGGCATGTACACACACGGCATGCACACGCGGCAGGTCTGCACATGGGGCTTGTGCCGTGGACACACAGAGCCGCAATCATCGTGCTTTATAGACTGCACGTGGAGTCACATTTACATGCACAAATCACGTCGCTCTGTGCACTATATAATGACACTACTCCTCATGCAGTGCATATGCTATTCTGTTCGTACTATTTATATATCGTGCAAGTAATACTACAGCTCCAGTATACGCAATGTGTACATTAAGTGGCACGTACATATATACACAATTAAACAGCGCATTTATGTACACACTATTTACCGTAGAATAGCATTGACCCGAGGACGATGTTGCTTAGGTACAATTATCCCACCACCACTCAATCATTGCAGTATTTTAATGTATGGAAAAATATATATCTACGAGTGGATAACACACCAACGAAACGCACACTCAATAAATACAACGAAGTACTACGAGACAAATCGTGAGATAATAAATAACACAAACTTATTACATGAAGATGAGCGCATGGATGTTCCTCCTCCTCCTCCCCGCTTGGTCTTGAGGCTCATTCGCTTCAAGCTGCTCTGTAGCCACTATCCACCAGCAGCAGCAGGCAGTCGGCTATCCCTGCCTTCGTAGCGAACATACACAGAGGATTAGGCTGCACTGATGCAGACATGTAATGCGTTATACACACACATAAGCTACACTTGTTCCTGAGAGATTGACCTCTACAAAATGCTGGTCCAGATGTATACAGCGGAATAAAACTGTCAACAAGTCACGGGTATATTGAGCCTCATATCTTGAATATACAAAAATCTATAGACAATGCTGGTTCTGTTTAATATGCTCTAGCCTACGCCGTTACAAGACATGCATGTATATCACTATTCCGACCACACACATTACGTTATCCTGCTGAATTACTCTTTGCATGTGAATGGGCTATGCTGCGACTTGTGTGTACACTGCACAGATTAAAGTATGCTACGCTCCTGAGATATACACCTAGATACAGTATGCTGTGGAAACTCCAATACAAACACGACAGATATGCTATTCATACAAAAATCTTGCAATTCTATAACTTTAGCTATGTTGCAGCTGCTGTAACCACAGACACGCGTAATAGCAGGCTATGCTCAGTGTGGTGCCCTTGACACGCAGACTCTATGTGCTGTGCTGGTTTAGAATGCTGCTGCTGCTAAGTGGAGTGCTGATGCGCTGCTTGCACGCAGTGTGCGCTCTCTCTCTCTCTGTGTGTGTGCGTGCGGTGCTGGGGCGACCAGAGAGAGAGTCAGGAATGACGTGGGCCCCATCCCTCCCTTCCCCTCCATCCTTCCCTCCCCCCTGCCGGTTGGAACTGTGACGCACACAGGCTCAGGGATGGGCACACACTTGGGTTGTGCGCACATGCCTGCGTGTGTGTGCATGTTCTCAAGGCGTGGTGCTCGCTCACAGCACTTGCCCCAACAGTCTGTTAAGGCTATAAAGGGGATCTTTGTCTTTGTTCTCACGGCCAACATGAGTGACGATTATCTGAACCGGTCCTGAGCCCCCCCTTAGGTCGACTCAGCCTCAAATGAGTACTTGGTGTGGAATGTAAACATCGCCATTAGGGAGACAAAGGCGGTCGGGCGTGGTGCTGGCCACCCACCCCTCATGTATCGTGCTGGCCTTCGTAAATTATCGAAATAGTACTTTCCCCAACATTATGTGCGGATATATAGGGATTTGTTTGTCTTTGTGTGTGTCCTCCCTGCATGTGGGTGCACATTGTGTTCACCCAGTGCTTTATGTGCAGTGTATGTACTTGTGTAGTGTTATATGCTTGGGTCTTTTGGTAAAGTCGTGTAGATAGGTAAAAAAATAACAAAAAATAACAAAAAACGACGACGTTTCGATCGAAACACAAGCAGTCGTCTTCAGGAAAAGGGGGGTTAGCTTCCAAGGTAAACTGTTTATAAGGTTTTGAAATGGGCGTTGCCCAAATGTCAGCAGCCAATGATAATGTGAGTGGTGGGCAGCCAACCCGACGGTGGTTGGTTTTCCTCCAATCAAAGGGCTGCCAGGTGAAGATGAGCATGTTAAAGAGAGATTAGCATGTTAAAGAGAGATTAGCATGTTAATGGGAGATTAGCATGTTAATGGGAAATTAGCATGTTAAAGAGAGATTCGCGTGTTAATGGGAGATTAGCATGTTAATGGGAGATTAGCATGTTAATGGGAGATTGGCATGTTAATGGGAGATTAGCATGTTAAAGAGAAATTAGCATGTTAATGGGAAATTAGCATGTTAATGGGAAATTAGCATGTTATTGGGAAATTAGCATGTTAATGCGAGATTCGCATGTTAAAGAGAAATTAGCATGTTAATGGGAAATTAACATGTTAATGGGAGATTGGCATGTTAATGGGAGATTGGCATGTTAATGGGAGATTAGCATGTTAATGAGAGATTAGCATGTTAATGAGAAATTAGCATGTTAATGGGAAATTAGCATGTTAATGCGAGATTCGCATGTTAAAGAGAAATTAGCATGTTAATGGGAGATCGCCGAGCCGCAACCCAGGGGTCGGCGCTCGAAGTGACTGTTGGTGTGAACCCTGTGAAAGTGCAAGTTTGAAATGGGCGTAAAGCGCAACTAACATCGGAAGGTAGTAGGATGGGAACATCATAGCCAATTATGACTTAAACTGGTTGATAACGTCCTTCCAATGATTGTTCAGTTTGTACCCATCTTCTTGGTTGAAATTGTGTTTGTGTCATGAACGAATCTTTGTTGATAGCCAGTGGGCTTGCAAAGTACCTTCGTCTTAGAGAAATCAATTTCGAGTGAGCCCACCGCATTAAAACAATGATCAGCCACGGCCGAGGTATTGGTCCTACCGTGTTTCAGATCTGCCTTATGTTCACGAACACGGTCCGAGACATGCCACTTAGTTTCTTCAATGTAACTACTGCCGCAGACACAGCTTAGTTTGTAGACGCCGGGGTATTGCATGTCAGGGATCACATCCTGCACAGATGGGATCAGATCACGAATTTTATTTACTGCGTTAAATCGAACCTGGATCTTGTGTTTGCTCATGATTTTGGAAAAAAAATTGTGACTCCTGCTATGTATGGCAAGGTGATGGTTTTGATTGGGTCCTCAGATGGTTCTTTCCCAACGGTTGGGGTGGTGGGAGTCAGGTTTTAGGTAGGCATCAGTATAGGTGGCTTCCCAACAGGGCCGACCTCCCCCAGAGAGCCTCCGTCGCTCTCAGGACCCCGGCTTTATGCCACTCAGCGTGGCCTTGCCCCGCCCTCGGCCTGCCCCCTTCTAGATCTCTCCAGAAGCTTCTCGGCCCTCATCACGTGTCCCCCGAGCTCCCTTTCGGGCCCCCTCGCTACCCTGTCCCAGTCACGTGCCCTCTCGGGTTTACACAAAGTATCACGTCCTCACTTGCTCTTTCTCCGACCCTCACCAGAACTATGCCCCCTATGGCCCGCTTCCATGTCAACCCTATTCTGGTGGCAGAAAGAGACTCCCGACGTGCATTTCCACTCTCGTGAGAGCAGTTGCCACTAATGACATTGTGACCCCTTTTACGCCACTACACTTGTATATGCCCGGTTAAGGCCTTGATAGGTAGAGTACTCGCTAACACCACGTGCCCCAACAGTCTACGTAGTCTACACAGGGGCTCTTTTTTGTGCTTGCTCCAAATGCATATCAAACCGAGGCAGAGAAAATTTGCCCAAATAAGGGGCCATCCATTTAGTATGTACACATGGAGGGGGCGGTTAACCCAAATGTGTACGCTTGCGTATGTGGGGTCTACTGACAATGTACATACGCTTAGGAAATTTGTCTACATTGGCCTTCAAATGAGTTAGATAGTCCGGCGGTGGACTATCTGTTTGCTGAAACACCTTAATTAATATTAGTAATCATTTCCGCGTCGATTAAATATCGGCCGTTCTACAGGATTTGTGGGGGGGGGGGGGGGGGCGTCAAGCGTACATACGCAGGTGAGGGGGGGGGGTGTAAAAAGTACGCGTGCGTACAGGGAGGGGGGGAGGGGTCAAGTTTTGACAGATGTTTGCGTACCTACTAAATGGATGGCCCCTAAACAATGTCCCTGATCACTGTTGATGGCCCTGCACCATTGGTGAAAATGTCACGTGCTTATGACAACCGAACAGATAGTGGCATTCATCTAATAGACATCGAAAATAGAACATTGAAATTACTTAAATATACGCGATTTAACCCAAAAAACCTCTATTGTTCTATGGATGGACTGGCCCTGTCAAAAAATGTGGATTTTTGTTTTTGTTTGCTCAGTATTACCAGTACTAAATTTGCACAACTATACGTTTAAACGTCAGGGCTCTTGCGTTTTAAAAAAGTGTTTTAAATATATAATTCATATTTACTCATTAATTTATTATTTCCTCTATTTATTTTAATCAGGGCTAAGAGATCCTTGAGATATATTTCTTAGAAATTAATCCAGGATAAATGCATGTATAAATATAACAGCGTGAAAATATAACTACTGTACTGCCTATGAAGAAAAAGTTATCACTGCACGGAATTTTAACAAAGTTAAATTATATAAGGGGTCCTCTTCATTGGCAATGCATATACACTAAAGGCTTTAGTTTTTTCTAACGTTCCCTTTTTCGGAAGTATCTTTAATTATATTTGCTTGTAAATATAATGGGTTTTTTTAATACTTTAATGCTGTCTATTCTGTACTTTGCCTAGAGATCACGTGGTGTGTTTTGAGACCATGCAAAACCAAGGTGTTTTGTATATAAAATATAAAAATTAGGATACCAAACATACGGCTATGGATTTTGTACACGTGGAGTGTTGAACACGGAGGCACACACTTCGACTTGGAGGCAACACTTTTATTACACGGCCCCAACAGGGGTACATAGACGTTACAGCGATCACAATTAACTAGACCCCAACGGGGTAACTACATAACCGGGTCAGTCAGCTAACACGTTGCCTGACCCACGATGCCGAGCGCAAAGACTGAAGACCGCAGACCGAAGAGACGTAGCATGACGGGATGATTCCAGGAGACAGCCAAGGACGCTCTTGCGACTGCCTCTTGCTGCTCCTGAGCGAGGCCTCACCCCGCCTCGGCCACGCCCCCTTCGAGACCTTTCCCGAAGGATCTCGACCAAGCATCACGTGTCCCTCAAGCCCCCTCGGAGCCCCCCCCCTCACTACCCTGTCCTGGTCACGTGTCCTCTCGGGTTCACCCAGACTACCATGTCCTGACTTGACCTCTCTGAGGCCGTCACTCTGGCCCCAGAGAGAAGTTCCAGGCGCATAGCAGCACTCTGATGACAGTGCCTGGCGCTAACACCGTAGTGACACTCTTAACGTCACTACGTATAATTTGTCCACTGTGGCTGTACAATTGTCTCAGTTGTCTGCAGGAGGTGTCTGCCATTGACTAAAACTTCACTCTGCAGCATTATGCAATTGGACCTATACGCAGTAATACTATATATGAGATGCTACCATGGTTGTAAGGGTGAGTACACCATACTTGTAATCTAGAGGTTGCCTGTTCAATTCGACCTCCTGGCAGTTGAAACAAATATCCAGGTTTCTTAACCTGCCCCGGACCCCCCTGCCCCGTCACCTTTGTCCGCCCAGAAGCATAATTACGCACGCTAGAGTTGACCGGCAGGTCGCGCGTGGTGGGGTGAAGTGTGGGTACTCTCACCTAGTCCAATATCTCTGCTAGCGTGGAAGATTAGGCCATCTAAAGTGCGGGTACTCCATCCGGCAGTGGCATGAGCAAGACATTTCAGAGGTGCAGTTTTACCGTCATATCAGCACTCTTGTAACGGCTTGCCACGTTACGGCACCACTATAGAACCTGCCATTGTGATTGTTACAGATGAGGAGGGTAATGAGTCTGTAAAATTGAACATGTAGCAAATTGGTCACAAATATCATAGTGAATTGAATAATGAACAATTTGTAAAAGATGTTTCTATGGTGGACCACATGCATACAGACAAATGATTATCAAATATCATTACGCCTATGAAAACGCATATGATGTAGTGGAAACTGGTTAAGTCTTCCAAACTCTCACGAAACAAGAGCTTCATAAAATATACATAATTATCAAAACGTTTGTAATCATGGCAACTCTACACAAAGATCACGTATATAAATTCATCAAATAGAGAAATAGACATGAATGGAAAAAGGAGT